TTTCTAAGTAGTTCTCATCAGAGGCTTCACAAAATACTTCTTATCCTCCTATCATTCATGAGATAAAGGTACAAGTACAGCAACTTGTTCTTCAGTCTGGAGGATATGACCAGCATGGCCCAGACTATTGGAGCCATAAAAGCCTCATAGAGGTGGCAGATCCCTGAATGGTCACATATGTGGATGTCCCCACAACTTATGCTTTGCTGAAATTGCTCATCACTAGAGCTGACTTTATCACTGGGGGCACTGTCATCACTGATGTCATAGACGTAGTGAATTGACATGAGGATGCACTTGCTTCCAACCTTTGGAGCATGTGAGTTCTACTAAGCCATCTAGATAATGTGATATTGTGTTTATCTTTAGTGGTCCAGTGTTAGATTTTTTGAAAGTGTGCCCGCATCCTGGATGTGGAATATGCCTGGCCTTCATCCTCTATTTTATTAAACTCTAAATACATCTTTTGAACTTTTACAATGAACTTCTGGATGAAGTAGAAGTTTTTAGAAGAGTTGCTTTTTGTCAATAAATTCTCAAATATGTGAGATATTCTATTGTGGAACTAAACAAGTGTAGTAAATAAGCTGATCTTTGTCACATCAGCCATGGGCAGACCTATAAACAAAGGACCCTATATTGCACCTTCCATGATGGGGAGCTAAGGCTAGACATTAATGTTTTGATTCTTTTTCATTTTTACAATTCCACATGCCTGTCCTTAGAGTGTTTGGAATGAAACCCTGGTATGGTTAACTATAACTTTTCTCTGGTTAATTTTGTTCCTGCATATTGTGGACTTTGGATTATTTAGCTCTAATAATTGAAGACAAGCAGAGTTGGTATCAATAAAAAGAGGTATTGTTGATAAGAAGAGGAATTCATAGGGGTGGGTGTTGAAGGATGGGTTATGTATACAGTCAGGATGAGAATGGTAAACCTTAAGATGTTTAAGGTTAAGCATTATATAGGTTCTCGAGGGCATATTGTGCAATAAAGGAGGGATTCAGGTTGTGTTAGGATAAGGCTAAAAAGTGAATGAAGGGCCGACATGACTGCAGAGGAAAGAGCCATGGAGCTGATGGTGTGAAGTGAGGGTTTCTTTTATTCAGAGTTGGATGGGCATGAGGGGTGAGACACAGTGTTGGGAGAGAGGATAATGTCTTGAAGACTCAGATTAGTTCTGTGACAGTGGGACGAGATGAAACATTGGATGTAGAGGTTTATAGAAAATGTGGGACAGAGGTCACTAATATGGGAAAAGAAGGCATGAAAATGAGCATTCTGTGGAGTGCTAGTTGTCTGCAGAGCAATAAAATGTTGTAGGAAGAGGATACACTAAATCCAGAATATGTATGAAGGGATTTTGTGGGTTGGGGTCTGGAAAGTGGAGGGGAAGTCAGACTACAAAAGGGGTTGTGAAAGGAGGCTAATTTAAGTGGGGAATACAGAGCAGCCTTTGTAATGACATCAAATCGGAAGGCTGAAGTGTTCATTCTACTTCTGACCCAGTAGAGAAGTGTGCAGCTGGTTTTCAAAGTGTGTTCTGGGGATGCAGTTATTACATGGCCTGGGAGAGCTGTGAAAAGCCACATTTCACCCTTGTACCTCAAGACCTCACTCAGCTAAATTAACAAGATAGCCAGGCCCCAGGAAGTTTGTGTGTGAAGGACAAAGTCTTACTAGGTGCCTGGAGACAACCAAGGAGGTGGCTGATGGAGTGTGCCTGTGAGGGGTAGGATTGTGGGCCAGGATTAACTGAAAGTGACTAGATCCTTTTCTTCTAGTCAGAGTGGACTGTGTGTGATTCAACACATAAAAGCCATTTGACAGGTCACAGTGCTGGAGTCATTAAGCACAGCCACTTGTTGGTTACTCTGGAGGGTAAGTACAGCATGTTCCAGACTACTGGAGCCATGAAAGTCTCATATATGTAGCAGATTCCTGAATGGTCACAGAAGTAGGTGTCCTCACAGACCAAACTTTGCTTAAACTTCTGACCACTAGAGTTGATGCTGTCACTGGTGTCACTGTCATCACTGATGTCACCGTCTTAGAGCATCAACATCAGCATGTGTGTAATTTTATCTTTCAGAGCACATGTCTAAACAATTTAAAAAAAACTTGTCATTTAGCACATCTTTATCAGGAAGGCCTCTAGTTTTCACCATTAAGGATGACATTAATTGTAGCTCTGTAGGCTTTTTATGATGAGTTTGAGGTGGACCTTAACTTGGTGGTTGAACACATCCATTTCTATTGCTACAAATGGCCAGCTTCATGGGCTTGCAATCTATGAAGTCACTCAGAATAGCCTGAGGTAGGTTTAATCTCTGCTTTTGTGGCCATAGAATTCTTAATGATTTCGAACACAGAGCCCTGGATTTTCATTTGGTACTTCTTTTTCTGGTCCTGTTTCTTGGGCTGACCCCCGTTTGAAAAAAAAAATTGTTGTATCCTACTGGGGTATGTGATTTGTAACATGACTGCCAGAGAGCAATACCAACACAAGAGAACATGGAGGAGCTTTAAGGTAAGTGGAAGAGCTTTTGGCTTTTTCACACCATTATTTCCATTACTAGTGTCTAATGAGCAGGTCCACACTTCCCCCCACATCTATAGCTCACAGAAGGATGGTTCTCCATCTCTGATGTACTTCAGAGTTTTAAATCCTTAAAAAATGACAGTTACAATAGTTTCTGAAGGCAATAGTATTGCCTTCAATATTGATATCATTAAACAGATACAATAGTTTCTCATTAAAACAGATACACCAGTTTATCATTAAACAGATATAATAGTTTACACTAAATATTCCTCTTTAGAAAAATATCAGAGAAACAGTGGTAAGAATGTGTGTGTGTGTGTGTGTTGGTGATCACAATAAAAGCAGATGAGTCCTCATTTCCAGGAGAGAAGACCTTAAATTAGATAATTTCTAAATTGTTGGGAAATGCTCTGCCTGCTTTCAGGAGTTGTAACTACCCCCCATGGCTAAGGCTGACTGAGCAACATCTGGAATGCCAGCCACAAAAAGACAAAGCTTGTCTCTGGTAGAAAATGCTGCCTCTGCTTCCTCTCCTGTCCCCAGTGCATTGTCAGATACTTAAAGATGTTTACCACTCCTCAGAGGAGGGGCAACCTAAGCCAGACTCCATCACTTGGGAGGTCATCATGGAAGGACTTGGGAGGCTGCAACAAAGAGGGAGCCACGGACCCTTGTCCCCCAGCTATTCTGACATAGCCTGAGTCCCCATGTCCTCTTGGAGAAGTGCTTCCTGGCTCTAATCCACTTAAGCCTGAAAACCTGTGATGGGGGGAGGCGGTCCAGCCCCTTGCCAGGCTAGAGCAGGATCCAGGGTGATCTGGCATAAGAAAGAATTTCTAAAAGTCTTGTGAAGCCTTCTTAGGTAAGATTGCTTTCATTCATATGTTAAGGTTCCGAGTAGGAAATGAGTATGTCTCCCAAAGTTTCTGCAACTACCTTTCCTGACAGACACTAACTCAGACTAAGCCCTCAGATTTCTTTGAAATGTTATCTACTGTTTGATCATTACTGCCTGTATTCCTGTGTATTACAACCCAATAAAAGCCATTGAGGAAGGGGCTCTTGGCCCTTCTCCTCTGAGAGATTGTCCACTTCTCCTCCCCAAGAAATCATGTCATGGTAGTGTTATTTTCATCCATGGGGGACAGGGGCACTTGTGGGCAAAGTTGCACCCACAATAATGTTAATAAAAATACGGAACCTCAAAGAATGTTATTGACAGATAGCTTTGGTTCTATTTGGGGAGCCATGTTTGTTTGGGGCAGACATCTTGAGCGTGGCCCAGACAGGGAAGCCAGAACCTTCCTGTTATCATGTTGAACAGCACAGATAGAGACATAGGGCTTATCACAGTAGAGTCCGGAGGTGTTGCAGATACAAGAAAGGAGGGGCAGAGGAACTGGCTTTGCTCACACTATGAATATCAGACTGAGAATAATAACTTCATGTTCCAGCTACAGTGGGAATTAAAATGTCCTTTAGGTTGCAGGTGATCACATTAAAAATGACCCCTTTGGGCATTACACAGTGATTAAGTTTTGTCTGAGAAAACTAATCATTGTGGCTTTTTGTGCAAATGCCATTAGACAGAAATTGACATGTTTTGGGGTTAGTTTTTTTAAATATAAGAAGCATAGAACTTAAAAATCATAACCCTCAGTTTGTAAACCAGTATAAACACCAGTTTATATATGGTTGGCATTTTTTAGTATAGCATTGCTTATTTAAATTAATTTATTTTACTCATATATTTGGAAGCACATTGAAGTTCGAGCCTCTAGAATGATATTCAAAACTGGACTGCAGATTTGCCTCACAAATGAAACATGCTGCTACTTCCCACAAAATGGACACACTACACTCATTTCAAGGCACAGCCCCTCTGCAGCCTCTGTAGCCACAGTCGAGGACCCAACAGCAACTTGGCCCTGAGAGCTGGGAGAGGCACAGAACACATCTCACAAAACCACTTCCATCTTCCAGAACTGTCGCATTTAATTTGTTTACAGAGATATGTTCAGCATCTAAGTTATCTGTGTGTTTTCAAACAGGTTAAATATCAAATGAATTAAGCCATTTGGAGTATCTATTTTAGTCATTATTAGGGCACCTCTAATATATCATGTGTACAACCAAGGTCTTCATTGTCCAAAATTGTCAACCTAATCCTCTCAGACTCTTTTTCCTTTCAGGGTAAAGGTCAACTTTATTTTTTCTATGCTTGGCTCTAAAATCTTGGCATTATTGGTGATGCCTCTCTTGCTCAGAGGAATATAAACCCAGCAGCACACATGAACAGTTTCCAATATGTAGATAATACCTCAACACTAAGGTCCAAGACAACATTGCTTCTATATGAGGTCATGTAATAGTCACTGCACTCTAAGTGAGGTGAAAGGGTTAAGCCTCCTAATTGCAAGACACTTTTAAATTCTCATTCTATGTTTTATAGAAAAACCTGCATCAGAACAAACTGTGTGGTGAATGTCAGTCGCTCTTCACTTCAGTATCAAATCAGGACAAAGCAAATTGCAGAAGCCCTGTTGAAGGATCAAGAACATTCCTCTTCATTGGACATGACATTTGAACGATGAGAAAAGGTGACTGCATAGAGGTATTAATGCATAGCCTCTTGGGGGAGGAAATCTTGGGTCCGTTCAAGGACTCTCAGCTGTTTTGCCCCTGTGCCTACATTGCTCAGAACTGACACCTCTTTATAAAATTCAGGAACTGATGGAGATGCAAACTTAGACTTGGCTGAAAGAGGTTTAGTTGTGAGTTCCTCCACTGTAAAGAAAGCATTTTTGTTATGCTCCAGTGGGCTAATATTTTCTCAGAGTCAGGAACCCTTACACGGGTTCTTTCTGAATCTAGGCCACTGACATTTATTTTTATTCTACTCCATTTAAAATGCAATTGTAATCTGATAATTGCTGATCCTTTATCTGTTCTTTTGAAACATACAGAAAGCCTTGTGAAAGCTTCTTGCCAGTGGTAAGAACCAAAGATTATTTATCTCAAAATCCTGGTCCCATTAGTTGGAATGTTCATCTTCCTGCTGTTCAGTTGAGGCATACCTCTGTCGGGGACCTTTACAGCCAAAACATAAAAGTACTTCCCAATCAGAATTTTAACAAAAGTTTGTTTTGCTTTTGTGTAAACTCAATTAGAAAACACGCCTTCCCATGGTCCCTTCTCTTCTAAAATCTCTCTAGCCTTTGTCTCAGGTGAGTTGGGTTCTTCTTTCCTGTGCTATTTCATGGTCTTTAATAAAGTCTTTCTTTTCTTTTTAAACTTATTCAATGTATGTTTTACTTTAACACAATCTTCCTGTAAGTAGAAATTATGTGGTCTTCTACAAAGTCTCTATCCTTCACATATTTTTTAATATTCTAATTTTTTCTTATTTTGCTAATTTAAAAAAAAGTTTCCAATAGTCTTGCCTCTCTTTTACTTGATATTCACAGCAGGAGATGACCTGACTTCCCAGACCATCCTGGGTCCCCAGGTTGGCTCAAAGCAGCCTTTGCTCAGAATCCTGGAAGACACAGCAGCATGAAAGGGCCCATTTCGACAGCACATTGACCTTCAATAGTGTACTCATTCCACATACATTTCCCCTGCATCATCAAGAAACAAGATCACAGAGATTATAAAAGATATTCTGTCATTTAACCTCAACAACTGTAGTAAAGATGCAGGTCTCTATGATGTCAGCCACCCACAGGAATGTACTGAATGAGCCTCTCTCAAGCCCTCTTTGACGTGCAGCTCATTGCAGACATCACTGTCCTCATTCTTTGTTTTCTTTGTTCTTTTGGTAATTTCCACATGCCTGTCCTTAAAGATCTCACAGCCAGAATTAGGAAATGGGAAATAAATCTCTGCTCTGGTTCTATTCATTTTCTGCTTTCTGTGGCCTCTGATGTGTTGTACTGAGATCCTTGGGGACCTGTCTCAAGGTGGATTGTGTGTAAGCAGAGGTGAACACAGAGGGAATTCATGGAGGAATAGAGTCTGCCCTGAGTCACATGAGAAATTGTGTACTATGGGAGGTGAGAGGATGTTAGGTTTTGTATAATTCAAGGGGCCCTGATTGTCCCATGTGGGGAGGTTTATTTTGGAGGCTCAGGATGAAGCTGAACCATATGAGTGAGGGTCTGACCTGCCTTTTGAGGGAGGGGCCGCTGGAGCTCCTGCAGTGAAGTAAGGGTGCCATTCTCTAAGACTAGTTTGAGCATGAGTGTAAGACAGAGTTGAAAAAAAAAGGATAATGGTTTGAAAACTTAGATTAGTTTTATGATATTGGAACAAGTGGGAGCACCCAATGTACAAGCTGGAAGCGGTCATGAGACACAGTGTTGGGATAGAGAAAGATGAGGGGACAAAGACAGAATTTAGGTTGGTGCTTTCCTCTAATTAGGGTATGAGGTAATAGGGAGCAATCTTTCAGTTGGCACAGCATTGTATGTGATTGAAATATTTCAGTACAGGGTAGACATGATGGCTACATAACATGTGACTACACTAATGATGCTGAATTGCTCACTTTGAAATGATTAAATTTATTGTGAAAATTTTACCTCATAAAATAATCATGGTGAATTAAAGAAGCCAGATAAATTATAATACATGCTACATGATTTTATTTATATAAAACTTCAGAAAGGGCAAACTCATCTATTGAGAAAGAAAGAAAATGTATAATTGCTTGCAAACTCTGGGGGTTGCTTGGGGAATTGAGGAAGGGATATCAAAGGCATGTGGAAAACTTTTGGGTGAAATTGATACATTTGGAGAGTGTAGGCATGTCAACACTCATCAGACTGTAAACTTTACGTGTATGCAGTTTATTCCTTGTCACTTATACATCAGTCAATCTGTGGTCAATGCTTAATGTCATGAATTGCTGTGTGGTCAGGAGGATAATGTATTGTTTTCCTATTACTGCTATTTTCACATGGATAGACCTGAACTAGGTACACAGAGGAATGCAATAATAACAATAATGACCATTTTCAGCACTGACTATGTACAGGGTACCTCAATTGTATTAACTCTCTGAACCACCAAAATAGTCAGTAAAATTCATTACTTCACTAAATGTCCCTGCTTCCTGTCATTTGTACATGTTGTGTACTTTGCCTGGACCTCCCATTCCTGTCCCTCATGAGCTCTATGTTTGCTTCGGCTCAAACTCTTTCAGATGCTTCCCTTTGAAAAAGTTTTAACTGGTTCTTCTTATAGGTGAGAATTCCATTGGTGTCAGGTCATAATGCTCCATATTTTACCCTTTTAACCATTATAATATTTTTCGTTTATTTATCAAAGGACATTGGCCCTCTGCTCAGCATCACCCTGACACTGTTCTAATCGTTAGAAAACAGTAGACAAAATCTCAGTCCTCATAGACCTGTTATGTCAGTAGAGGACTCACACAATAATCCAAACAACAGTGACAAAAATAATGTATGATACTAAGTTAGAATAAAGTAAGGCATACTTGTGTGATTTCTAATATGTTGGCTAAGTATGATAGGGGACTCACGACTTGGAAAATTTTATCTTAAGGAAAAAATATATAAGTCTAACTAATAATGAGTATGTTAAAGCTTTTGTTTCAGAAACTACAGAAAAGGCCCATTCTGGCTCCTTGGAAAAAGTGGGCCTTCTTGGGGCACTGAAAGAAGATTATGGCCTGGGGACATAAGGCTCTTTTGTTGCAGTGGGAGCAGACAACCACCCTCCCCTGGAAACAACTATCTGCCCAGAATGGGAATGTTGAAGTTTAGCTCATCTAATCCTACCTGAATTTCAAAGCCTTCACCACACCTTGTTTATCCACTCACCCCTACCTCACAAAAATTCTGGCCAGGAAAGAGAAGAGAAGATGGTTTGTTAGGACATGGACCCACCATCTTCTCAGATCACTGGCCATCTGAATAAAGTGCCTATAAAGGAGTGAATCACTGTCATGTCTTACTGGGTTTGGTAGTAACAGGCAGCCCAAACACTGGTGTTGTTTCCAGTTACAAACAAAGAGGATGTGAACTTATTGGAGCAGAGAGGTCAGAAGATGAGAACAGATGAAGTCAGAAATGAAGAAGCCATGAGCCAGAACCTTGGCTTTACTCGGAGTAAGGTGGGGTGCCACTGGAAGGTTGAAAGAAAAAAAAGAGATGTGTTTAACTTGTGGTCACTGAAGGAAACCTATATTTTGCTGCCTTGAAATTTTGGTTTTAGAATATTGATTTTAAGCTGTTTATTAAGAAACAAACTCAGGGGAAAAAAAAACTGTTGACCCTCTCCACATTCCACTCAAGAGATCCAGATAGAAAATGTGCTTCAGGAGAAAAATCAGGATGTTCATTTTAGCCTAATTCATTACATATGATAAATAAACTGCTTCAGGTAGTACCTGTTGGTTAGGTCCCTCATGTGTCCCACTGATTCTGAATTGCCCAGAAAAAAATTACCTTGCCATGTAGGATCTTCCCTTCTCAATTACATAAAAAGTGCTCATTCTATCTTCTGAAATATAAGACTCTTTTTCTCTATGTCCTTTTTTCTCTTTGTCCAAAATATTTTATGGCCTAGTGTTGCCTCATCATCATGGAAATTTTTATGGTATGTGAATTCTCCATGATTACATATTAAAAACTGTATTTCCTTCTGCTAATTGGCCTCTGTTGATTTGATGATTAGCCCATCTGAAAAACAATTTAGAATGTGGGAGGGATGGTATTACTATTTATTAGCCTCCTCATTAGCCAGGATTTGTGAGGCTGCTGGCTTGCAAATAGGGAGTTCAGTGAAAAGACGAGTATAATCATCAAGGTAACAGGTGAGGATAGTTGGAGCAGTGTGAAGAAAAAGTATCAGTTTCTGGATTAGTTTTGAGCACTGAGTCAAAGAATTTTCTGAAGAATTTGAGGTGAGGTGTACGAAAAAGTGAAGAGTGGCAAAAATACAAAGAGATTAACAAAAATTCTATAGGAGTGCATTCAGGTCAATTATTTGCTTTGAATTACAAATCTGAAGGCATCCAGAAGTGCCTTTTAAATATTCACTATCTAATAAATACTTGGACATCAGCGATCATATCCAGTTTGTCTCTTTCAACCACTATCATGCTCCCATTGCCTCAGACAGTGCCTGGTAAGCTTATAGTCTATTATACATTTACAGAATCTACAAACGAACAAGTAATGAAGAATCAAAATGTGTCCTGGACACTCATACACAACATTTCTTATTGACTAGAAAATACAGCAATGCCACCAAGTCAGCATGAGTGCAGGGGCCCTTATAAACCTATTTGTTGTTGGAAGTCACATTGGGACCTTTATTGAGCCTTTGTGCTGTAGGTATTTTTGGAACCGAATTATGTTGAACATAAAAGTACTTGAATGATATTGAAACTGAGCAGGCACTGCTCTGGGAGACTTCCTGGTCCCAATTTCTCATCAATGAAAACGGGACTGGAGTCTTTCAGGCAGCAACACACTCAGCAAATGTTAATTAAAATCAGGGAACATATAAAAACAACAACTAAAAATCGTTTAAGCAGTAATCAATGATAGCATAAACACTA